TAATTCCCTCCTGCACAGAGGAAATCAGAGATCCTAGGGGATAAACGGAAAAGAAACAACAAAAATACAATAAATAGTAAATATGCATGAGATGCAGCAAAACAAGTAAGGCAAGGGAGTCCCACTCAACCTCGAACCTAAGAAAGCAGCAGGCAAAGTGAATCAAATTCACTTCAAGCCTAAAGGGCAAGCAGCACAAGCCAACAGACAATACAGAGAAAAACAAAAGATATAGAGGAGGCAGCCCAGGCAGCAGCAACAAACTCCTACAACAAACAGCAACAACACGCTCTGAACAGCAAAGTTAAAATGACAGCAAAGGTCTTATCTTTGAGCTAGATTCCATCTTCAAACTTCTTCAATCTTCATCTCCAAGCTTTAGCAAGCACACTCCAAGAAGAGATTTGTCATCAAGATCAAGTTGCAATGTTGGCATACTTGCTGAAAACCAAAGGAATTCAACAAGAACCAACATCGAAGTGGAAGTGTATCCTCAAAAGTTCTACTCTCTAGGGTATGCCCCACTTCCCTCCTAAGGAGAGATGGAACTTCCCTAAGATGACTTTGCATCATAGGATAGAATAGAAGCAAACAATCCATTCTATGTTTGATGGAAGAAATGAACTAATTCTACAAAAGCTCTCCCTAAAAGCCTAATTCTACCAACTCCTAAAACAAACTTAAAAGAGAAAGAAAGCTCCACTCCAAGCCCCACTCTTCTAGCCAAAGCATCTTCATCATGTTCAGAAGCTCCTCTAAAAAGGAATCCAAAGTCTTCAAGCTCCAAGTCCACCAAACGCTCCAAACAAGGCAAAGCACTCAAGAGAGAACACCGAAAGCAACAATCATTTGCAAAACCCAAAAAAAATAGCAAACTAAACTATAAAATTCTAATAAAATTCCTATGTGAACATGCATGTTTGAACATTCTAAAATTCCAGAATCAGGACCTAAATCAATTTCTAGGTCATCTAAACAATTACTAAATGAAATTTGGTCATGGGAAACCATTATTTGGGAAGGCTCTAAACTACACACCTAAAACAGAATCTAATAAATTTTAAAAATTATAAGAAAATTCCAAGGGAAACCTATGTATGTCCTCTAAATCATATCGAAAGAATCAGCTCAAAAGAATAAAACATCAAAGAGAACAAAATTAAACAAACAGCAATATCAATTATGCATAACAATGGATATTAGCACAAAATAAAATTCGTAACTAATTCAAATAAAATCCTAAAAATGAAAACTCAACTCCTACAGTTTCTTAAGACAATCAAGATCTACAGGAAAAAAATTCATAATTTTTCGATCATTTTTACTATTTTTAACGCAATTAATCCAAACAACTATTAAAACAGAAAAAAAAGAACGAAAATGAATTAAACTAAGTTAATGTGCATTGGGTCAGGGGCGCGAACAACAGAATTCCAAAGCAATGTCCGTGTGGGCCTCGCGAGTGGGGATGGGAACAGTACCCGCGTGGTACTGTAGCTGTTCCGGTGGTGACATTTTTTCGGTAACTTCCGAGCAACATAACTCCATTGATTCTTAACCGTTTCGCACGAAATTTTAGTCAAACTTGAAGGAAAAAAATCAAGGATTCCAAATATGCTCTTAGATTCCATCAAAACTCCATGATCAAAGAGATATATCATCATCAAGAAAACATACTCATCCAAAAAAGTCTCTAATCCTTAATTTTTTGATCATAATTTCATCTATACATTTTCCAGATCCTAACTACATGAATAATCTAATCTAATTCGTCCTAAAACCATAGAAAAAGTGAATTTCACATACCGGCTTCGGAGCGTCGAAACGGAGTAGTTGGAGCTCGTTTTTTCTTGCCAAAAAGTGAGGAAAACCTTTGTTGAAGTTTGTTGGAGAAGATTAAATTCTTAATAACTCTTTGATCTCTCACTTTTTCTCTTCCAAACTCCAATGTCAATCTATGGTTTTTTCACAAATGAATCACCAACTCTTGCTTTGAACCTCTTCACAAGTATATATAGAATGTATTTGAAGACCCTAGAAAGTTCTAGATTGATCCTATAGAATGTATTTGAAGACCCTAGAAAGTTCTAGATTGATCCAATGAGAAAATCAACTTCTCATGTCATGAAAATCTCTTCTTATGCTATGCACATACCATCTCATGTTTTGGCTTGCAATTCACTTGGTTATGAGTTTAAATTCTCTCCAAATGAGATATTGGAGGTGTATGGATGGAAAAGGAGCCTTGCATTTGCTTGGAAATGAGGTTTTGCAATTGTTCCTTATGGTTCAAGTAACCAATTTACAAAGCAAGTCCTTGAAATAACCCTCAATTCAAAATTGTGGCAATGCCATTATCTTTAAAATGCATTTTACAATCAAATTGGTATGTCATATGGCTTGTTTGTGACCTCTAACCCAAAATTTGATTTTTTTCCACCAAACTTTATTTGACTTATTCCCTTTTTTTAGGCCATTTTAAGTGACTTTTTTGAAATAAGCCGATCAATCCACCATGATGACTTATTTGACCTAAAAACATCATTTTAAGCACATTCCATGTTGAACAATTTTTCATTTGAGAAGTGGAACATGGAGATTTTGACCTATGCTCAAAAATGACCTTGAATTCAACTTTCCCAAAATACCCCTGGATTGCCAAGACCATAACTTGAGTTCTACAAATCCTCTTGAAGACTTCTAGTACTCAAATTAAAGCTAAGATCAAGATATACAACTCTTATGTTGGCCAAGAATCCATTTGAAAACTACTTGATGGGCAAAAGTTGCTTGGAAGTCAAGTGACTTTCACAGATAAATTTCAGTGTCCTCTGGAGACCCATAACTTGCAAGAACCATAACTTGAGTTCTATAAATCTCCTTGAAGACTTATAGTACTCAAATTAAAGCTATTGAGATGTTCTAAAAGTTTCATGTTGACCAAGACTTTATTTGAAACTTGCATTTTGACTTATCTGGCTTGGAAGTTAGGCCTGAATTAGGGTTTTTTACACTGAAACCCTAATCTAGTAACTCCTCTTCTTCTTGATTCCTTTTGATTTCTCCTTGGCACAACACCACACATGCATCCATATACCAATTCATGACTTCCACATACTCCAAGTAGGCCTTGATGCCCTTCAATCAACCATTTGACCTAGGATTGACCCAGATGAAACCCTAGTTGACTGTACTTCAACTCTGACTCTTGTACTTGTATCAATGACTTGTCTCATCTTCAAAATGACCCTCTAGGTCTTCCATGATCTTTGTACACATTCCATACTCTCAGTCATAGCTCATACTCCCATTGGTGATCTTCCACACCCCTAGATTAGGAGAGAAATCCACTAGTTGACCTTCAAACTTCTCAAAGCTTCAACTCATTTCTTGATTACTTGGATGATCTTGAATTTGAATAAAACCCCTTGATGGGTCTCTTTCTGATGAAAATGGCACTTGATCCTTTGTTAGATGCCTTGTTATGCAAATGATTAGACTATTTACATGACTTAGTATGCAAATGACAATGCAATTGAAACATAAACCAGGTGAAATAGGTTGAGCAAATTTTAGGGTGCAACAGACCCGTAGGCAAACCAACAAGCGTGGATCCCATCGAGTACGATGGACGTGAGGGGTGCTAATACCTTCCCCTTGCGTAACCGACTCCCGAACCCAGGCAATGGTTGCGATGACCTTGTCTTATACCTTTTTCGTCAGGTTTTTTTCCGATTGTTTCCTTTTCCGTTCTGAGGGATAAATAACGAAATGTGGCGACTCTTCTGTTTTCGTCAGGTTTTTTTCCGATCGTTTCCTTTCTCGTTCCGAGGGATAAATAACGAAATGTGGCGACTCTTCTGTTTTGCCGGCCTCGTTTTTCGCAGTAGCGACAAGGCCAAAGTAATTTGTAAGATTTAAAAAATTTATAGTTGATTTGAGTTGTTTTTACTTTAATGATAGATACTTATAAAAAACTAAATTTTTTTTATATTTTTTAATTGTAATTATAAGACTTTAATAATATAAATAATAATATTATATATTTTAAAATAAATAGCATAGTTAATTATATAATTGTCGGAAACTAAAAAGTTAGTGAATTAAATATCATGTCATAGTCATTAAAATCAAAATTCTTTATAATCATCGCTAACCGTAAAAAATTTAACTATTAAAAACTAATATTAAAGATGCATGCTATAATACGGTCAGATTCAGTTTTCTTTGAGTTCAATTTAATCAACGAACTGAACCATCACTATCCATCATAAACCGAATGATTCACCCGTTTGATCCGACTTTGACCCGACCGAAAAAATTCAGATTACATGTGCCGGTCGAATATCTACGGTTGGTGGATTTGTCCACCACCCCCGCTCATCTCATTTCCTCAACTCGTTAAAAAATACTCTCTACATTTTATAAAAATGTTATATTTTAGTAATGCCTGATTAATATTATAATATTGAATAAAGTAAAAATTAATGAATAACAGTATGATATTGAAAAAAATAATAATAAATGCTGTATTAATATGTAAATAGATAACTATTTTAAAACAGAAAAATAATATATAAGTAAAACACTTCTTTTGAGAAGTTCGATGAAACGAGTATCTCCTAAACAGAGTAACCGAACTCTTTTCTGAGACGGATGGAATATTCATGACCTATTTAGCCGCCTTTGTCGGGTGTGAGGCAAGCAAGACTTTCAAAGTAAACTCTAATATTTTTGTGGTATAAAAATTCCTTTAACAAAACTTATGTGGTATGAAATCCAATGACTACATATCAGAATAAAAAACACACTGAAATTTAAAGCAATTATTTTTATTTCAGGGCTTTCCCTTAATTTTCTCAAATTACATCAAAATTAAAGATACGAAAAGCAGAACAGTACATTCTGCATATGCATCTACCATCAAGAACATTGAACCCATCACCAAAACCTAATTGAAAGATCCTAAAATCTTCGGCCAACCCATAAAACCCAAATACCTAACTACATAAAATAACCCTAATGACAGCAAGAGACAAACAAGCCATTGAAAAGAAAAACAAAGAAACAAAATCCCTCGAAGACCATTTCCTAACCTCTTTACTTTCAACTCTCAAACTCTTAGCTCTCCTCAAAGCATCAACTTCCTTCAACAAATCAAATTCCAAACCTTTCTTCTTCAACTCCTCCGAACATTTCCTTAACAACCCTCTATCCTCTTTCTCCCTACAAAGCATCTTCTCCATATGACCCTCCACGTCACTCTTATACCTTAAAGCCCAAATAAACCCCAAAGAAAACAACAAAGAACATAGCGACGGAACCCAAGATTTGTGACAAGGTTTGTTAGGTGTTGTTGTTGAAGATGAAGAGTTGAAGAGAAGCATGAGAGTGGTTGAATGGAAGAGGAAGAAGAAGATGTAGACCATTGTGATCTCTTTTCGGATTGAATCTATTTGGGTTTCTTTTAAAGCTATGCGACCGTTGATGAGTTCTTCTTCTTTGAGCCATTGCTTTAAGAGGAGTTTGTGGGTTGGTGTTTCGGCTATTTGATGAAGAGGGTGCATTTGTTTCCATTCCATGATTGATGATCTCACGTGGCTGTGTTCATCGCTGTTTGTATTCGACATTGAAATGATTATTGGAGAGAGAGAAAGAGCGATTGAGAAGCAGTGGTGAGAAAAATGTGTTATATAAGGAAATTGAAAATGTGCCTTAGGTTGTTGTTTTTGAAATTCTATAACGGTCGGATTTTAGTGAAACTACAAGAATACCCTCAACGTTCCATTTTACTTTGATTCGTGATGTTATTATTATTGAGTTCTCTCATGTTTCAACGGAGGAGCGTGTAATGTAATGTGATCTTATCGGCTAAGTAATTGTGAAATGAAATCTATCTCTAGATCGAATAAAAAACAGTCCAATATTAAATAAATAATTAAATGAATATAAAAGTAATGAATGTCATAAGGGGATCTTTAAGTATTTTAAATTAAGAAATAATTGGGTAAAAAAAATTAAAAATATCTATCATTTAATAATATAATATGTTTTAGAAAATTTTTATTTGCCCTTCTGCTCATACAAGCTTCCACCAGGCTATTTTAAATTGATTTTGTTTTCTTATCTTTTGCCACGCAAATCATCTTTCTGATATCAGTTTTAAAGCAAATACTCTCTCTAGTCACTGTTATAAACAAAAAAATGACTCTAAATTTTGGTCACTATTAACTTTCAAAGTAATTAATGTCTGTATTACTAGTATACCCCTAATTTAATTCAATAGTATTTAATGTTGGTAGTTGATTCATCAAATATAAATAAGGATATTATAGTAAATTTTACTTTAATTGTATATGAAACCAAAAAAATTAATTAGAGTTAACTAATTTTCTTAATTAGTGTTAAAATAGTTATTTTTACTTATAATTGTGACCAGAGGGAGTATAATGTAACCAATTTTTTAAATTTTTTAAAAAAATCTTTTGCTTTTCTATGCTTATACTAAACATTAAATGTATTTCAAACTGTTACTATTTACTTTTCCCTACTCCATATTTTTCCTACTTCCAAAGACATTTTGAAATATCACTTTGGTTTTGCTTTTTCATTTAATATTCTACTGTTTTTTTTTTTCTTTTCATTTTTCATTCACTCTTTTCACTACCCTTCATTTCTACGCTTTTCCTCTGCCTTATCTCTTTCCCTACTTCCTAATTCTTCTTCTTCCATACAATTGTTTACCGTGTTTTTTGGTAAACAACCTCTGGTCTATCAATTTGGTGTCAAATTGACTAACTTGCAGGATTGACCATACGAAATCCTAGGACATGTACTAAAGGGTATTTCTATTTGAGCCTATCTAGAAATGTGTTTCAACAATACTAAGAAGAAATAATTTAAAAGGGGGGGGGGGGGGGGCAGACATTATCCACTATGTTTAAAAGAAAGAAGGAAGAAGAATTATTAGAGGGAAAAGAGATAAAGGTTTTTTGGGAGAGAAAGACTTAATCGAAGTGGTAATGGTGAACAAAAGGAAAGACGAAATAAATAAGTAAAAGTACTTGACAAAAGTAAATAAAATAAAGTAACTTCATTGAAAAGATAAAGGATGGTGTGTTTACATCACGTACATTCTCTATAATACTCTCTTTCTCTACACTTGGATACTTGGAGTAATTTTAAGAGTGACTTGTACAACAGTAAATTACAACACACCGAGTTTATGTCTAAGACTCCTATTTATAACTATAATAGTAACTGCTAATAACCTCCTTAGACCATCTATTCCTGACAAGTGTCAGACCGCATGCAGTCCTTTATCCGATGAGAGCCGCTTGTCCTTCTTAGTCATAAGAAAATATAACTACTCCCTCCAATATTCGAATTTCAAAACTCAATTCGTCCCTCCTTCTAAATCTCGGTCGAAGACCACTTCGCTGCTTAAGTCGAAGTGTTTAATTTCAAGACTTCAATTTTTCTAAGTCCTTGGAAGACTTATAGGTCTTTTAACACGCTGAAAATAGCCTCCAAACATGAGTCGTCGAATTGGCGAGCTAACAAATTGTCCCCCAAAAATGTAGTTTTCGACACTACAAAAAGTACATTTTTTGACAGCATCTAAATTCGACGCCATTTACCTTCGACTATATCCTGATAGTTAACCCACCTTCAACCACTTCGAGTTTAGGAAACTGAAAGGTGATGGGAGAGGATATATCCATAATCTCACGCAAAAAGGAAGTGTTACGCCACCTTGATGCACGATCTCTGACGTCATGAACATCATGGAAAATTTCTCGGGAATCACCAAAATCGTGAACCATCATTACCCCTACAGAGCATAGGTTACAACCGCCACCTCTAATAACTCATCCTGAGTACACACGTGGCCCACTAACCCCAGCCACTTATAAAAAACTCTTGAATTTCCTCTTTTCACTTATAAATAATTTTCAAAATGTCTTTTACTTTTACTTCTTCAATCTTTTTACAACATTGCCTCACATTTTCTTCCCACCGTCTTGTGTTCCAAGAACACTCCTCCAACTCTCATCATGGCTGAGCTAAGATCCCAGAAACAAAAAATCCAGTCTCATCAACAAACCTCTTCTTCCACCCTTCCCCCTTTTGCTGCTCTGAGTGGCCCGAAGGTGGTGAAGAATCAGCAACTCGTGCGAGAGCCTTTACTGGAGGAGAAACGCCATATCTACGAATCCCAGGTAATCATACCCGTTACTGTCGCGGATAAACCGCTTGCCATGTCCGGGCCTCTATCCCTCTCAGGTTTAAACTATTCCAATTTGAATGAGTTTTTTCCTTCTTATCGAAAAACCAAACCCCTAGGGCAAAAAGACTCCCAAAAGGTTCCCTTGGATAGTCCAGATAGCTTGGATGTTTATAATGTGGATCTCAAGTATCTCCATGATGGCGCAAGATTATTTAGGGCTACGCCATATTTCAAGGATTCTGAACTCTACCTCAACTGGTTGAAGAAGGTAGAAAAGGCAAAAACTTAAGACTGGAAAGACATGGGCATCTATGACCTTATTATGATGTCGAAAGTAGGTCCCAACTACTGCCCTCTGATGTTGGCTGCGTCTTTGTTCTTTTGGGACAACACACATTACACTTTTCATCTTCCATGTGGGATGATGACGCCTACTTTGTTCGATATTGCTGCTATTATAGGACTGAAACCTCATGGACTGGCTTACGACCCTGAAGTTGATAGCCAAGACATTATCGGTTTCTCAACCATCAAACATACTTATACCCATTTCATCAACCATTATCATGATAAAAATAATGTCGCGGTTAAAGACGAGGAACATATAGCCTTTTTTGCCATGTGGTTGTCTCGTTGCATTTTCTGTACTAAATCCTTACAGGTGGCGCGAAAATACTTAACACTGGCGAACCAGCTACATGCCAAGAGAGAAATATGTTTGAGCGAAATGATCCTTGCAAGTCTATACGAAGCCTTAAGCGAAAGTTCCAGCAAACTGAAGAACCCTGAGAATAACGGCAACTTGGTAATGTCGGGGCCGTTTTGGTTACTTCAATTGTGGTTAAACGCCACTTTTGAAGGCAGCCTACCAAATAAGGGTGAAGTTGATGAAGGTTCTCCTTCGATCTCTGGAAGACAAGTCGAATGGCCCCGCTTAGTTCAGCTTACCCCCGGCGAAGAAGGGCAAACACTTCGAGCCAACCTCTCAGGCTTAGTCCAGATGTTCGCGAAGCGCCATGTCTTCACACCTGGGATGGCTCCCTTCGCAGAACGGAAACGTGGCCCTGAATGGTTCATTAGGCCTTTCCCAGCTTTGCTCAAAAGACAGGAAGAGGAATCGAAGCTGATTTGGGAGCGATTCCTTACGCCTCGACTATTTGTCCACAAGCTCAATCTGACAAGAGGGCAAGCTTCCCTGATAGCTTACCAACCAAATCTTGTGTCGAGACAGTTTGGACTTATCCAAACCCTACCTAGGTGTTTATACGAGAAAAAATCTCACATTCTGTTTCCACACCACATCGTTAACCCCACCGAATGTTCGACCCAATTGGCGCATCATGCCCATAAATCCTTACTTACCCCACTCTATTTTAAGCCCTCTTATTTCTGTTCCCCAGAATTTTATAACTGGTGGTCCAGACATTATTCTTCTGAATTTCTTGATGTTTCCAGTCTTACTCGAATGATTGATCAAACTTTCGTTGATGTGCAGGAAAAAACCAAGAAAGGTAGGTCCACTCACATAAAGGAGATACAAGCCTTCCAAAAATATTTTGAAACTGCTTATCGACCGGATGATATTAGTCGAACCGTCTGCGAGGCTGCTGTCACTTTGAGGGAAAAATTTCTAAAAAAGATGGAGAATTTAAAAATTCCTTCTTCCATCCCCCGTGAGAAACGGTATGAGATGGCTTTCAAATTATTTCCCCCTAAGATTCCTCGATTGCCATATGCTGATTTTGGAGTGGACCTTGCCCCTTCATTCCCAGATTGGTTCATCTGTGAGGATCCTATAAAAATCCTCAGACAGCAGTCGAAGCCTAAAGCACAGTGGGTGGTTCCGACTAAGCATACCGTCGATACTTTCAAAGGGCACCTTCATATTAATATCGAAGATGTTCGCATCGAATCCGACATTCTCGAAGGTCTATTCTTCTTCGTTTTAAACCTTTTAAACAACGCTTTATCATTACTAACGGGTGGTGCTGTCATTTGTCTTTTGCAACTGCTCCAAAAAAGACCGCCATCTCAGTGAAGACTGACAGTTTCGTCGAGGGTCAGAAGGTAATATTAATGCACCATCTTAATCCTTTCAACATTCCGGGTTTAGAAAACCTAACACTTTCCCAATGATTTTTAGGTAATCCGGAAACCCCCTACCCCTCAGAAAAAAATAAAGAGGGGCGCCAACCTAGTCATCATCGACTCAGAAGACGAAGATGGTTCTCCTCGAGAGGAGGTTCCCATGAAAAGGCGGCGAAAGGTTGTACGCGGTCTTGATGCCACTGACTCAGATCCTCCATCGACTCAAATCCATGAATCACAAGCTCAACGTGTAGACCTTGGTAAGGCTTCTGTCGGAGGTACCCCAATTCCCCAAACTGCTGCTGTTGAAAG